GAGGGGGGGGGGGGGGGGGGGGGGAGACCAAAAATGTCAAGTTGTTGAGCAAAAACAAAAAAAGGACCTCGAGTTATTAAGAAAACCAAAACCAACATTCAAGAAGGATGGCCCCTTTAATTGTGTGCAGTCAGAATAGGGATAGGAAGAGGAGATGTTGAGCACTAAGACCCAGGTCTTGCTCAGGTCTTGAGGTTTTTTGCTGGCGGCCATCTTTTTTTTTTTTTTTTTTGTTGGGGGAAAATACACATTCAGCGTAACTATAACATTTCACTAATTTGTGCTGATTTCACAGAATTGTTTTGGTTGAAAAAAATCTTCATGTCCGGGATCTGGGCCCGGTTGCTGAGTGTGTTGTAGGGTTGCCAAGTGTCTGGTATTTTCACTTCCAGGCTGGGAAAAAAAAATCAGAAAATAGCGGACATTTCAGGTGTCTGGTATTTTCTGAATTTTTTTACCGGACAGGGCGGGGGCAGGCAGGGAGTCCCACTGCACTGCCAGACTTCTAGCGGCCGAGCCTGGTTTGGGCTCAGGAGCTTCCGGCTGATGGAGCCCGACTCCATGAGAGTCTCTGCAGGGCCCCCAGGACACACTGTCGGAGGGATGGGCCCTGCGATTTGGGGGAAAGTGGGAGGCTCTGAGTAGGAGGTGTAAGCTTCACACAAAGCCCCGGCAAAAACAGGCTCTTCCCTCTGCTGCAGAATGCGAGTTCGGCCACGGGAGCAGAGTGGTCATGCCCTGGTCTCACCTCTGCTACCTTGTGTGTCCGCTGTGGGCCTCGCCCTCGAGATTAAATAACCTGGAACCGACAGCAGATCCCAGAGGGAGCCCCTAGGATGGAATCCCTCGCTGACCAGGGGGTTTAAGTCTACCCAGCAGCTAGTTTTAAAGCTCTTCACTGGGTGCTGCTGAGTCCAGTGCGAAGCCACGTGGCCCAAGTCTCCGTACACGACGGCAACCCCCTGACTGTTACCCGTCACACTTGTGATCTCATCTACAAGGGAGTATCGATTGTCATAAGCACCACATCCCAGAAACCATGGCGATTGGCCATAATTACGCTGCCAGCCTTGGCGCATTACTCAGTCTGCAACAGGCGTCCCATGGGCTTGCCTGAGAGCGATGGTCACGCCAGCTGGGCTACAGTTACCAGCGTTGTCCCATTTACCCTTTTAAAGTATTGGCAGGACATGGGCTTTTTCCAGCTCTCAAGATCTTGCCGTGTTCCCAGGGCCAAGTGCTCTCTGGGATAGCATGGCCACTCTTGGCCAGAAGCCCAGGGGATGGGCACTGCAAGCACCCAGCCACACAGAGGCAGAGAAGCGGGGGTGGAGCAAGACGGGGCTGACACTCCACACTACGACATTCTCCCGTGATGGCCTCATTGCACTGTCTGACTCCAGAGGGTGCGAGTGGCCAAACACACGTCCCTCCGCAGCGGGCACAGGGATAGCATGGCCACTCTTGGCCAGAAGCCCAGGGGATGGGCACTGCAAGCACCCAGCCACACAGAGGCAGAGAAGCGGGGGTGGAGCAAGACGGGGCTGACACTCCACACTACGACATTCTCCCGTGATGGCCTCATTGCACTGTCTGACTCCAGAGGGTGCGAGTGGCCAAACACACGTCCCTCCGCAGCGGGCACATGC